ATGATCTCTGAGAAAAGACAGAATCTGTCTGTCACAAACAGCATGACCCTTCACGTGCTGCCCAGGACCTCCCTCTGTGCCTGGTCCCTCTTTATGTGCATAACTGGAAGATTAAACTTCCATGACAAGTCATGGAATCAGAAACAACCAGGTTGAAAAAGACCTTCAAGATCATCAAGTCCAACTGTTCACCAGCACTGTCAACGCCACCACTAAACCATAGAATCATAGAATGGTTTGGGATGGGGCAGTCACAGCTGCAATGGGCACCCTGTGCCAGCGCCTCACCACCCTCACAGGGAAGAACTTCTGCCTTACATCTAACCTGAACTTCCCTTTTCAGTTTGAACCCATTACCCCTTGTCCTGTCGCTACAGTCCCTGTATAGTTCCTCTCCAGCATCCTTGTAGCCCCATTCAGACACTGGAAGCTGCTCTGAGGTCTTCAAGCAGCTTCTCTTCTCCAGGCTGAACAGCCCCAGTGTTCTCAGCCTGTCTTCCTATGGGAGGTGCTCCAGCCCCTGATCATCCTCCATGTCACTTAAGGGCCCTGTCTCCACGGGGTGTGAACACTTGCAGGGACGGTGACTGCAGCCCTGCCCTGGGCAGCCTGTTCCAATGCCTGAGCACCCTCTGGGGCAGGAATTGTTCCTCAGCTCCATCTAAACCTGCCCTGGGGCAGCTTGAGGCCGTTTCCTCTTGTCCCATCCCTTGTTCCTTGGGAGCAGAGCCCAGCCCCTCCTGGCTCCATCCTCCTGTCAGGCACTTGTAGGGAGCCATCAGGTCCCCCTGAGCCTTCTCTTCTCCACACTGAACCCCCCAGGTCCCTCAGCCCTTCCCCATCACACTTGTGCTCCAGGCACTGCACCAGCTCCGCTGCCCTTCTCTGGCCCTGCCCCAATTAACAGACCTGTTCCTTTGCTAACTGCCCTTGAGATTTTTTCCCTCAGTTCCCCTCAAACAGCATAAACTGTGTCTTCACAGTGCTGGAGTATATGCTTCCAGCGAAGAGCAACCCAACATCACCAGGATCAAACTAGAGCTCGGTGCATGCAGGAATAAAGAGCCTGAGCCAAAACAGAGCCTCCAGTGACCAGCAGGACCAGCAAACAGCCCAGCCTCCCAGCACAAGGAGGAAAGTGGTCTGCAATGAGAGTCATGCTCTGGGGCGCATGCCTGAAGCAGCCTGGCAATGCCTCATGGCAACCCCTCTGTAGCTCACAGCACGCTTGGTGCATTGTTCATCTCCAAGGAGAACATAAAACCTCTCCATAATGCTTCTGGGCCTGTTGCCATAACAGCCTCAATCCCTGTGAGAATGGAACTGTGCATGTATTTGGGCTGGCTGATGAGGTGGCTCTCTCCAGAGCACTCCCCACTGTTTCCAGCCTTGTTTCCTCTGTGCAGGGATGACAGAGCAGCTCCCAAAGCCACCTGAGCTACAGCAGAAAGGTTCCAATGCCGTGGCTCCACTTATGCTCAGAAGCAGAAAAGGCAAATCGTGCCTGACAAATCGGGTGGCCTTTTACGATGGAGGGTAAGTGAAGAGCAACTGTTGCCATCAAGCTGGACTTGTGCAAGGCATCTGACACTATCCTGCATGACATCCTTGCCTCTAAGTTGGAGAGACATGGATTTGATTGATGGTTGACTCAATAAATGAGGATCTGGGTGGATGGTTGCACTTGAGTTGTGGTCAATGGCTCGATATCCAAGAGGCAAGCAGTGACAAGTGGCATTCCTCAAGCATCTGTGTTGGAACCAGCATTGTTTAACAGCTTTGTCAGTGACATGGACAGTGGGATCGAGAACCCTCGGCACGTTTGCTGATGACACCGAGCTGTGTGGTGCAGTTGACACACTGGAGGGAAGGGATGGGATTCAGGGGGACCTGGACAGGCTGGAGAGGTGGGACTGTGTGAACCTCGTGGAGTTCAACAAGGCCAACTGCAAGGTCCTGCACATGGCTCAGGGTTATTCCAAGGACAAACACAGGCTGGGGGACACAGGCTGAGAGAGCTGGTCTTCTTCAGCCTGGAGAAGAGAAGGCTCCTGAAGGGGAGACCTGAGAGCAGCTCCAGTGCCTAAAGGGGCTCCAGGAAAGATGGAGAGAGGCTTGGGACAAGGGATGTAGAGACAGGACAAGTGGGAATGGCTTTAACCTGCTTGAGGGGAGACTGAGATGAGCTCTTAGGCAGAAGCTCTTCCCTGTGAGGGTGCTGAGGCGCTGGCACAGGGTGCCCAGAGAAGCTGTGGCTGCCCCATCCCTGGCAGTGTTCAAGGCCAGGTTGGACACAGGGGCTTGGAGCAAGCTGCTCTAGTGGAAGGGGTCCCTGTCCGTGGCAGAGGCTGTAACTGGATGAGCTTTAAGGTCTCTTCCAACCCAAACCAGTCTGTGATCCTAAACTGGGTAAGCATCACCTTCCTCTGGTGCATGGGGCTGGCATCAGCTCCAGGGAACAACAGAACTGGCAGGAGGAGGAAAGCCCACTGCCCGTCAGAGAGCAGGGAAATAACAGTCTTATGCTGGCTGCTGTGGCACAAAGCTTAAACTGCAGCTAGAATGATCCTGAGAACTTGTTTAGAAGAGGGGAAAGCATTGGGATTCACCCAGGATTGGGGAAAGACAGTCCTGGACCAGGATCAGGGTGAGCAGCCAGGCCGCTGGCTGCACTCACTGCCCTGAGCTGGCAGAGCAGGAGCTCGGCATCCTCAGGGACTGGTTGAACAGGCAGCACTTGCCGAGGTGCATCTGCCACCTAGAGGCAGTGCCTGGAGCCCGTCGTGGGTCTCTGCTGTGGGGACACGAACTACTTCTATGTGCGCGGAACCATCCTCTGCAGCACCTGGAGATGTGCAGGGGAGCCTCAGCAGCATCAGGGCAGCTCTGCAGACTCCCAAGTGTTTGCATCTTCCGATGCTGGAGCAGATGACGTGGCGGTTATCTTGGAAGTCTGACAAAGATTTCCTTTTCTCTCAGCCTCCCCACTGCAGTGCATTCCTGCACATTTTGTCAAAGCAATTCTCCCATCCTGCTTTTTCTGCAGCCTGTTGAGAGCCACCCATCTTTCCTCAAGAAATTTTTAGATGCAAACATGGAATCTTTTGATCTTTTATCACAAGGCCCTGGGAATCTAAACCAGCTGTGTGATATGCAAATACTTCAGACTCTGTCTTCACCAAAACCCCAAACCACCAAGCAACCCCTGCTTATTTTTCTGCTAGTTTCTTACTTTTAGTAGTGATTTTTATCATGAAGTCAACTGACTGTGCAGTGTATGAGCCTGTCACTGTGGGTGTGAAATGACAGCTCAGGGAGGACGTCTAAAACAAGCCAATTGCCACCCCATTTCTACTGTTTGGCTATTTTCGATTTTAGCTTATCTGGAATTCCACAGGAATGAGCTGATCTATAAGAGGCACTGCTTCTGGTGTGCACTGGGGCAGGAAAACTGGAATAAGAAGTTGCTGGCCCCTCAACAGGAATTGCTCCCTTTGGGTGCAGACGGTCTCATGCCACTCTTGGATTGAGCACAGTGAAGAGCTATGTGTGATTTTAGGGGAGTGTGATTCATAGGAGAGGGCTGGAACAGCTCTTCTCTGGAGCCAGGCTGAGAGAGCTGCGCTGGTTCAGCCTGGAGAAGAGAAGACTCCTGAAGAGGAGACCTTGGAGCAGCTCCAGTGCCTAAAGGGGCTACAGGAAACTTGGAGAGGGGCTTTGGACAATGGCCTGTAGGGACACCCCTGTGCATCTCATCACCTCTCTGACCAGGTTTCAGTTCAGCTCTTGGGCATTACAGGAGCTTCTGACTCTGGATTTCAGAGCAGAAATTACCAGCAGCTTTACCAGCATGGTGTTGTCAGTCCACACCAGGGCAGCCCTTGAACACCCAATCTTTTATGTTTTAAAGATTATCTCTTCCTATTTGTTTTCCAGATGAATCATACACACATATGATTCCCTCTAGCTATCTACTACTCTAAGAGCAATCTCATGTGGGACTACAGGTACCAGCCGCCCTCATACGAACAGGAGCATGAGGCACATATGCACCGCTCTGTACTTGAAAAAGCACATTTTGAATACAAATCCTTGCAGTTTCCAACTAGTTTTTACACTCTTGCTGGGATCATCCTGCTCTCATCTGTAGGTCGAAGCAGAATTTATTTTCTGTTCACTTACTTTGTGTCTTAAACTCACAATCTGTTTTGGCATCACTATTACCATCCAGTGATGCCTTAGGGGATCACTTGACACACAGCACAGCACTGTTCTCTCTGCCCTTTCCCTCCTGCCCCTCAGCCTCCATGGGAGTGACCACGCACACTCCTGCACCTTCAGACCCTACCAACACCCGGATAAAACACACAAAATCCAGACAGAAAATGAGAACCTCCCACAGCCATTGTGCCATTAGCCCTAGCTCACTGCCTTGTTCTCCCATCTCCCTCCTCCAGCACTTTCAGGTTTAGTTGCACCATAAACCTTTTGGGACACTGTCTAAAGATCCCAGCATAGCCCATGGACTTCATGTAGTCTGCTCCAGACCCTGCCTGCCCTGTTTTTCCTTATTCCTTTTCCCTGTTGTTCCCTGCTCCTGTGTCAGTCTGTGACACTCATGGTCTGATGCTCAACCACCACACGCTCACCACCTCACACCCCCTGACTGCTCCATGGACTGACAGACATGTGCCAACACAGAGGTTGGACAGGTTCCCCTACCCCAGCAGTGCCATGAAAGGACTGAGAGGGACCCTGGGGGTTCCCCCCCCGCCCACTCCTGCTCAGAGCACGATCAGAGTCAGAATCAGAACAGGCTTCTCGAGCCACAGGTGACCTTCCAAGCAGAGATCACATGAAACATCCCCTTTTCAAAGCTCTTTAGCTACAAGCCAGTGGAGAGGGTTGAGCCATTCCTGCTGATTCCTGCACAGGCACAAACGCTCTACAGGGATGTTCTATTCTCTCGAGGAAGGGATTTCCCCCCCAGCCTGCCTTACCTACAGATTTTGTCCGTGGAATTCCTTTGCGCAGTGACACGTGGGGCTTCTCAGCTCCCGCAAGGACCCCGGAGTGTGCAGCCATGCCCTGGCGTTCAAAGAGTGACTGCAAGAGAGAAAAGGGACATTCCCAGTCTCGATGGCAGCTGAAAGGGCACTTCACCTCAGACCACCCCATCCCTCAGGCAGCGGGTGAAGCTCTGCCACAGCCCTGGCATGGGGAGGCTTCCCAGGGACATGGATGGAGCATTCCCCACCTCTGCCTTCAGCTGACCAGAAGAGCTGCCCCATCCAGCACCTCCCAAACTCTGCTAGTGCCCTTTGAAGGGCTAATCCTCCCTCTCTCCCCCTGCCTACTCCCCTGCCTGCTCTCAGGCCCTTTGTGTAGCTGCACAGTGCTGCTGACTCCAGCAGCAGTTTCCTCCCGTGGGAAGGCTCCACTCAGGCCACTCTGCTCAGAAGCTGCCTGTCCCATTTTACCTCCCGCTCCAGAAGCTGCCTCCCACCACTTGCAGCACTTTCCCAATCCAGACAGGCTGGAGCTGGCAGCCCCACTCCTACTCCCTCCATGCTTCCCCTCTTGATTCCTCCTCATCTCCAGTTTTACATCCAGAAAATCCCAGCCAAAGCTCTCCTGCTCAGCTTTCCACACTCCTTTCAGAGCAGCTCTTACGTCCTCCTCATGGCAATCCTGTGCTGGTGACCAAATGCCCAAATGTCCCAGCCACCCCACAGCCTCTCTCCTCCTGCTTTCCCCAAGGTCCCCATCCCAGGTTCGTGGTGCTGGTGGTGCTCAGCACTGATCACGGCACCATGTGCCCCCATTCTCCCACCACAAGCCCTCCTCTCTCACACTGATTTCTGCTGGCGTGATGCGCCGGCTTGTTGGTCGCTGCTTCACAGTGGCTGCCCTGGAATCTGCTTCGACGATGTCTGCCCTCAGTGCTGGCTCGGCAGCTGCCAGAATCTCATCCAGCTTCTCTGGAAACCCAAACGCACAAGACAAGGGGTTAGCAAGGGCCAGCGCACCGAGGCAGCTCCCCAGCCACAGCCCTGCCCCTGCAGCGTGGCCAAGCTGGGAGTCACCTCCTGCAGGGAGAGTGGCTCCAAGGCCTGTTGAACACTGGGGTGAGGATGCAGCCGGTTCTCCCCTCCCCAGCCTAATGAAGGCTGATGAAGATTATGGAGGTGTTTTGGAGCCACCCACCCGCCACGACGCACATCCAGGCTCAGTTTTGGGACCTGGTGCAGTGGCACTGTGCCGTGCCATGCCATGCCATGTCGCACAGCATTCCCACCCCAGCTGCACGCTGCGCAGCCGGCCTGAGCTGTGGGGTCTGTGCCCAAGGGGACCACGCTTTGAGCAAGCCTCCATCCTTACATTAAAAGAGCAGATTTTTTGCCCAGATCTGCTGTTGATATTCAGAATGAGTTCCCCATGTTGGGTGAGGGAGTTGTGGGCAAGGGAAACCCAGTGCCGCAGGGACCACAAGCAACACAGGAGTCCGTGGGACTCCACAGGACTCAGTCAGACTCCAGCACAACCAGTGTGACTCCAGTGTCTGCCTGGACAAACTGGGATGTTTCCTCTCCAAATGAACTCATGCACCCGAATGGCCCTGGCACGAGTAACCTGGCCCCTGTGCACCCCCATGTCCAAGGGTGCTCAGGCGGTGGGGCCGGTCCTCCAGCTGTGCACCACATCTATGCCTCACTACTCGCCAGCCTGCAGCACTCTCACACAGCACCAGCCCTGGCTGTGACAGGGTCTTCTGCCTGGGACTGTAAAGTACCCCCAAACTTAGGACATGTGGAAGGGCAACAAGCGGATGCTGGCCCCTGTCACCACTGACCCCCTCCGCTCCCTCTGATGGAGCCAGGCAAGGTCTGATGCAGCTAATGCAGGCTGTGGGGCTGGTGCTGTGGCTGCCCCAGCTTCGGGAGCTTCCAGGATAGGCCCAGTTCAGTCTGTGGGCTCCATGTCATAAATGAGTCAGCAGGCCCTGGAGCGTGGCCTCATGGTGCTGCACTGGAACCGATGTAGCTGCCATGGCACTCGTCACAACTGGACCCCTCCACCTCCATGGCATAACCAGTGCTCTGTGCCAGTAAACTGCCCAGGGAACCACAGAATCATGGAATGGTTTGGGTTGAAGGGGCCTTAAAGCTCCTCCAGTTCCAGACCCATGCTGCGGGCAGGGAAACCTTTCACTAGACCGTGGAGATGGGAGAACATGAGAAATGTTCTCTGCTCTGCCTGCGTTCAGGTTAAGACATATAACTTCTGGCTGTTGGACTTGGGACTATGAAACATCACCACTGTGGTGATGGCTTTGCTGGTCCTCAGGATATGGGTGCCCTGGGGTGCTGTGACCATCAGCCTGTGTTCCTCCTACAACATCCTGCCAGGGCCTGATGGGACTCATGCGCCACTTAGCAAACTAAAACTGAGCCCCAAGTGCTTCGGAAGCCCAGCCTAGAGGGGTGAGCCCTGTGCGAACGCTGATGCCGAGCTGTCTTTGCCAAGAGGACTAGTCCTCTCTGAGGCCAGCACACTTGGGGGCAGGTATCCACCAAGGCCCTGAGGCTAAGGATCTGCACTGCTCCAAGAAACAGCTGGGGCCAGTTCTACTTCCCATCTCTCAATGCCATTAGAGCACAGGGAGACAAATCAGCACTCACTGCACTTTGTACCTGCTGTGCCCTTGCAGGAGGTGACAGAAAATCCAGGAGCGGACACTGTCTGTCTGGGCTGCTGGGGTGGGAGATGAGGAAGTGCTGGAGACACCTTCAAGAGAGAACTCCCAGAAATGGGTGGTTCATGTCCAAAGTGGCAAGAGCTCTCCACCAAGCACTTGGAGATGGCCACCTTCAAAATCAGGACACCCATGGTGACCTCCAGCTGATCATTCTGACTCATGGGACCTCTGCTTTGCCTCACCTTTGGGTACTGACACATTTGCTCGGTACAGAGGTCTGGGCAGGTCCCTTCAGAGATCCAACTCCCTCGGAGGAGGCCACAGAGCTGCTGCAAGGGCTGGAGTAGCTCTGCTCTGGAGCCAGGCTGAGAGAGCTGGGCTGGTCCAGCCTGGAGAAGAGAAGGCTCCTGAAGGGGAGACCTGAGAGCAGCTCCAGTGCCTGAAGGGGCTGCAGGAAAGCTGGAGAGGGGCTTGGGATAAGGGCCTGTAGGGACAGGCCAAGGGGAATGGCTTTAACCTGCTTGAGGGGAGACTGAGATGAGCTCTTAGGCAGAAGCTCTTCCCTGTGAGGGTGCTGAGGCGCTGGCACAGGGTGCCCAGAGAAGCTGTGGCTGCCCCATCCCTGGCAGTGTTCAAGGCCAGGTTGGACACAGGGGCTTGGAGCAAGCTGCTCTAGTGGAAGGGGTCCCTGCCCGCGGCAGGGGTTGGAGCTGGATGAGCCTTAAGGTCTCTCCCAACACAAACCATTCCATGGTTCCATGATTCTATGCTGACAGGCTGCATGGCAGCAGGAGAAGAAGCAGTACTTGCACTGCTGGACCCAGCAAAGACCGTGGCTGCCATTTCATCTGACTGAGCTAGAGGCCTGACCTGGGGCTGAAGGAGGCCATGCTTCGTTCCCCACAAAAGGGGACATCCCTGTGCAACGTATTTCCCCCACGGAGCAAACACAGAGCAAGCACACTACCAGGAGAAGTCAGCCCTGGCTGGCAAATGGCCATTTCTGCCTGTGCCCTGAAGGATCCCAACACAATCAGGACAACCAGGGGATGTGACTGGTGCCGGTGCCTTGGGTGCACTGTGTGGGCTGTGGCCTGGGTGCTGTCTGGGTGCTGCCTGGGCACTGCATGGGTAGCTGAAGGGGAAGGGAGGACCCCCAGGAAGTGCGGTTTGGTTTCACTCACCCCCTTTTCTTCTCCGCATGGAGGCTTGGAATCAAGAAACAAAAGACAACATGAATGGCATGCACAGTTCCTGCTTTCATTCCCAGCTCCAGCCTTGCTGCCTGCCTGCCGTGCCTCTTCCTGCAAGCTCTCCTGCCTCCCAGCATGCTGCAGAATCTGGCTCTGGCAGAGGAGCACATCCCGGCCTCACTGGGGCTCTGGGGATGAAGGCAGAGGAGCAGCACCTCGAGCATCCTCCTTGTACTCCTTGGAGGGAAGCTGAGTGCTCATACGGGCCCCATGGGCAGGGACTGGCACTAGCTTTCCACCAGCCCCACCACAGGGATAAGCCCTCCTCCTCTTCCTCAGACTGAGAAAGCTGAGAGGAGGTGCCATGTCAGAAGGAAGTACGACCAGGAGGAGGTCTGGACAGCATTTAATGCCCAAGCCATGGAGAAAGTCTTTTAAAAGCTTTCCATCACTCCCTGCTCTCCAAGGCAGGAGACTGCAACCTGTGCATCTCCCAGAGCCAGTTTCCTCAGCACCCAGCAAATGGCAGGACTGCAGGACAGGAGTGCTTTGTTAGCAGCTTCCTGGGAATCTGCTTTTCCAAGGGCACTGGCACAACATGCAGCAAGAAAACATTATGGTACAGCTACAGTCACAAGGGATGTTCTGCAAGCTGCAGGACAGGGACAGGATGCAAGCGAAAAGGGGCAGGGACCCTCACAGGGGCAAAGCTCCCTGTAAGAAGCTGCAGGTAGAAATGTCCCTTTCCTCAACACCACTGTCCCCTCAGAAGAGGACAGCGGGCTCTAATCCTGCACAGTGCCAAGGCGTGGGGATGGGAACCTGCACAAAACCTCCCCCTTGGCAGTAAAAGCTGGAGGATCAACACCAGAAAACAAAGAGCGGGAGGAAGAACCATCCCCATTTTCCCTGGGATGTCTGCTGGGCCTGGCTACAGCTCACTCCTGATCCACAGGACATGAGGCAGGGACTAACCACTGCAGTTCCCTGGAAAGTCCATGGACTAAGACCAGTCACTAGCTACAGTTCTCCCCCACCAGCAGACATGGGCAGCTGCTGCTCCTGGTCCCTCTCCAGATACAAGAGAGGCAGCGAATAGATGCAGAATCCTGAGGCAGACCTGGAGGACTCATCTTTAACAGACTCGCTGGCAGGGCTGGTTCTCCGCTTTTCGTGACTTCTCTTTCCACCAGCTCGCCCCCCCTCGAGCCCAGCAGCTCTGCTTCCCAAAACACACATACAGGGCTGTCATGGCCATGTCCCACTGGCTGGGGGCCTGTCCCCCAGTGAAGGCGCCCGCATGACACATGCCAGGCTTCGACTGGGGCCCTGTGTTCACCACAGATGGGCACGTGCTGCCAGGAAATGTGTAACGTGCTGCCTGTGTGTGCCAGTAGCCACCCTCATGCTGGTAGGAACTGCTCTCAGGGCCAGCAAGCGAGAGAGAAAACATGAACCCTGGGGTCTGCGCCATGTCCGTGCAAAAGGAAGAGCAAAAAGTGGAAGAAATAGGCTATTCTGAAGCCTCTCCTAATGGCTACCAGCAAACACAGTGCCTTCAGGTTTAGGGATAAAGCTCTGGAGAAGTGAGAGCGGGCTGGGGTGAAGATCGAGGCAGTGGGCTCAGCAAATAAATCACAGTGGCCATCAACCAGCTGATGCAAACACTAAAATGCTGAGATTTGTCCCTTCAAACCCATATTTGAGTATGAGCCAGAGCCGTAAAGGTCTGTTCTTTCAGGAGAACCCCACAGGGTTGTAAAGCCTGGACGTGCCGGTAGGACAGGGAGTGGACCCCAAAAAACAGAGGGGTAGTGGGGTCTCCATTGAGGCTCATGCCTCTCGGGTGGTTCTCCTGCCAGGCAGGACAGGAGTCTGCCACGCAGAGCCCCTGCGCCACGGCCAGCGAGCGCATCTGCACCCATCACCGTGTCTCTGCATGGCAACACCATCCACGCAGCCAGCCGCAGCGTGAACACCGGCACTGCCATGGCTCTCCACTGGTGGGGTGCTACTGGGGGGAACCCAGTGCTACTGGGAAGGTGGGGGCTCAGTGAGGTTTCCAGGACAGCTGGGAAGACTGAGGGGCTCTGGCACAGGGCACGGGGAAGCGAGGATGGGGTGGGGGTGGAGAGGCTTTAAGAGAATACAGGAACATGGAGATGGAAGCTGGGATACCAAGGCATCTGGAACCGTGGGCTGGCTCTGTAGTGACAGCAGAACGTGTGAGTGTGTGCGCACGGTCGTGTGTGTGTGTAAGCGGGAAGTGCCGAGGGGGGGTGCAGCTAATCCGGCAGGGAGAGGAAAATGGGAACAAGGAGCTGTTTGTGGTGCAGGAGGAGCAGGGAATGGATGGACAGATGCTCTTCAGGCACATGGAGCCTGCCTGAGAGGCAGCGTGGAAGGGGTGGGCTGGCTCTATGGGGGGTCCTGCACCCCTATGATGGGCTTTCAGCCCCGCTGTGTCCCATATGCCGCTGAGCACGATGGAGACCTGACAGCAGGAGACGCGTCGCCTCGTGCTCGTGCTCCCACTGGCAAACAGGTGCTGCTGGCTCCAGGCACAGCCCCGCGCGCTCCCTGTGCTCCCGGCTCCACACACGGCCCCGCATGCTCCCCGTGCTCCCGGCGCGATGCCCACCGCCGCTTACCCAGCTCCTCCAGCTCCGCTGTCATGGACTTGGAACGCAGTGTCAGGGTGGTGCTGGGCGCTCTCTTGGGAGGCGGCGGAGCTGAAAGGAAGAGAGACGGCATTTTGCATTTCTTGTCCAGGAACTTACGAGGAGTGGCCAGATGCAGGTGCCACTTCTTCTCCACAGCCTGGATCTCCTCGTACTCGCGGGATGAGGAGTCGCACTGCTGCAGGATCTTATTGAGGCTGCGCGTGGAAGCAAACTTCTTCATGGTCTCGGTAGCACAGTCCCGGGGCACGGGGCCAGCCCCGGTGTGGAGGGGCCGGTGTCTCCCGCAGGCCCCCTCAGCAAAGGAGGAGGAGGAGAGTCCAAGTCATGTCCCCAGCTGTACCTGCCCCCCTGCAGCTACCGGAGATGCTATGAACGCCTCTTGCCGATTAGCTGTGTCCCAGGCAGCTGCCTGCCTGCCTGCGGGACTCAGCAACCAGCTCTGATGGCTGCTTCCCCTCCGCACACGCCATGGGTGGAGGGTAGGAGGCAGAAACGCATCCAACAGGCCAGGGCTCAGTCTCTCATTCCCGCCTCGGCACGGCGCATCCCGGCGCAGCACAGCACAGCCCAGCACAGCCCAGCATAGCACAACCCACCCACCCTGCGCTGCGTCCGGCCCGAGGCTCCGTGCCCTAGCCAAGGGCTGGTGGTGTCCGGCGGCTTATCCCCAGGGGCTGCCTAGCCTGGCCGGCCAGCAGGGCTGCCCCTGAGGCGCTGCATGCCATGAGCCCACCGAGCAGAGACCAGTTGAAGGCTCTTTCTCTTCACTTGGGGCGCCTCCTCCTCCTCCTCGCTGACAAGGCTGGATTCAACGCTCAGGCATTGCCATGGCAACCGGAGCTCCAGGCTTTGCCTGCATCAGAGACCCCATCAGGGGCGGATTCAGCCAGAAAACGCCAGTCCCACACAGGCCTCCATCTCCCCCAGAAGAAGGGGGGGACTGAGGCGGGGGCTTTTGCTGTGGTCCTGCAGTGGGGACTTGGCTCCGGTCCCCGCACCCTGTTCTGAAGAGCGTCCGTCCAGCTCTGTCGGCTCAGGGCAGCAATGGGCAGCGACAGTAGAGACAGGCAGCGATGGACAGCGACAGGCAGCAATGGGCAGCGACAGGCAGCTGCTCACTGGCTGCAGGGCTGGAAGCACCAGGAGGAGCAACAAGCAGTGATCCCAGCACCGATTCCCTCAGCCTTTCCCACTGACTCGTGCTTTCATGCTGTGACAGTATAATTGCAGCTCTTGGTGTCAGCGCAGAGCTGCCTCCTCCCTCCCCACGTGCCTCCCACCCCCCCCCCCAAGGCTCTGCCCCATAGCTGCCTCCCCACACACCCCACAGGCTGCTCCCAGCCCTGTGCTGCCAGCTGCCCTAGATGTGCTGTTTCCTTCCATAGCTGCATGCCATGATGTGTCTCTGCTGCATACAGCTGACAGCTTCCCATCTAGCTGCCCTCCATATTGGCCCTGCACTCCTCAGCTGGATGCCCAGCAACCCGAGGGCTGCCCCGCAGGCCAGGAGCACATAAGCCCACCACCAAACTCTCCTTTAGGCCTCACTTCTAGCCAATGGTCTCAGCTCTGCCCTGGGAACGACAGGGTGAACCAGAACCTTCTGGGGGCCCACACATGCCCAGCAGCCCCTAGACTGGCCATGACCACAGAAGCAACCAAGCCATGGGCAGCTCCCAGGCACAGCAACTGCCCGAGAGAGGACAGGCTCCAGCCTGGCACCCCACACCACCATGGGGTCTGTCCTCCACCCTGGCACCCCCTGTGCTCCTGTGGGCACCATCCTCCACCCTGAAGCCCCCACAGGGACAGATCTCCAACAATGCACATTTAGCGGGGGCAGCTCTCCATCACAACTCCCCTCACACACCAAAGTAAATTCTTTACCATGACACCCCCTGCCTGCCAACGCAGGGCCTGTTGCCCACCCTGACACCCCTCAGGGCAGGGGGAGTCCCTGTCCCTGCTCTGCAGCACCGGCTCCCACTGGCACCACAGAGCGCAGGCACAAGAAGCAGCTCTGCTCCTGAGAAGGTGTGAGAGCGGCTCCCTTGTGAGAACGAAGCTGCTGGTGTCCTGCAGCCTGACTGAGGATGGCACCCACCGGTGTCCTGGCCAGCAGCTGAGGTGCTCTGCTGCTGCCCTGCTACCAGACTACCATCCCCGTGCCCCTGTGTTGTTCCCAGCTGCAGCCACCAGCGCATCCTGGTGTGGCAGCGCTGCACGTGTGGAGGTTTCTATGCCCAGGATGGGCGGTTGTCCACTCATGCCCTCCTTCCTCACCAGCTGCAGCTCCACAGCCTCATGGTGCCCACCCATGTAGTAGGTGCATGCAGCAGGCTCATGCAGCAGGTGTATCGAGTGGGCTCACGCTGCGCTCCTGAAGCAGGCTCATACTGTGGGTGCATGCAGCAGGCTCATACTGTGGGTGCATGCAGCAGGCTCATTCAGTGCCTGCATGCAGCAGGCTAATGCAGCAGGCTCATACTGTGGGTGTGTGCAGTGGGCTTGTCCTACGGCTCCTCCCGGCAGCACCATGGGTCTCTGCACAGCTGCTCGCATTCAGGCCACACAACCCCCACTGGGGGAAACACGCAACTCCAGACCTACCCTTCTTCCGAACAACTTCTTCTGATTCTGGCTTGCGGCTGACAGAAACAACCTTCATCACCAGGTGGTTCCCCCCCTGCCGGATCAAGGAGACGACCTGCTTGTGCCCCACCTTCACCACGTTGACGCCATTCACCTAGGACACAAACAAGAGAGCAGTGTAAGGGCTGGCTGCCACAGAGCAAGGCCGATGTCCAGGCATGAAATGTGATGATTTTGCACCTGGTTTTACAGCCCAGCATGTTCTCATATTTCAGCTATCCCTGTGGGATGTCACAAGTGACCACAACCTTCTGGAGAAGCAGAGGAACCTGCAGCGAGATCAGTGTTCACCTGTGCACGCAAGTGGCAGGAGGTACCTCCTGTTCCTACTGCCCACAAAGGCAGATCCCTAAACACTGGGCACTTCCTAGTGCTGCCAGGAGGTTTGGCAACCACGGGGGGGCTTCTAGACCTGCAAGTCCTGCGCTGCTGCTGCAGGAGCTGGAAGAGGTGCTGCAAGAGCCACAGAGCACATGGAGGGGGATAACCCCAACCCATGCAGCTGCCCTGTCCCCACAGCACCCACCCGTGTGTGCAGAGATGCAAACTGCTCCCCCAGCTACCAACACGCTGATCTGCTCCTTCCAGTGTCTATACGACACAAACTGAAGCTCATTGCTGTGGTTGTTTTTAGTGCTAATATAACCTACTGGGGCTCCCTGGCCAACGAGCGCTGGGCTGAGAGGACAGGTCAGACAACCCCTGGGACACAAACCCCAGAAATACAGGAAAATGCAATCTCAGTACTTGGATATCTACCAAACACCAACCAACACCAGGTTCTCCACAGGTGTTAACAGGCGGACCCTCACCATGAGTAACAGAGGTTTAGATGTAACAGGGATGAGTTTGGGTTGAAGGGACCTTAAAGCCCATCCAGCTCCAACCCCTGCCACGGGCAGGGACCCCTTCCACTGGAGCAGCTTGCTCCAAGCCCCTGTGTCCAGCCTGGCCTTGAACACTGCCAGGGATGGGGCAGCCACAGCTTCTCTGGGCACCCTGTGCCAGCGCCTCAGCACCCTCACAGGGAAGAGCTTCTGCCTAAGAGCTCAGCTCAGTCTCCCCTCGGGCAGGTTAAAGCCATTCCCCTTGGCCTGTCCCTACAGGCCCTTGTCCCGAGCCCCTCTCCAGCTTTCCTGCAGCCCTTCAGGCACTGGAGCTGCTCTAAGGTCTCCCCTTCAGGAGCCTTCTCTTGTCCAGACTGACCCAGCCCAGCTCTCTCAGCCTGGCTCCAGAGCAGAGCTGCTCCAGCCCTCACAGCATCTCCATGGCCTCCTCTGGCCTCGCTCCAGCAGCTCCATGTCCCTCTTGTGCTGCTGCCCCAGAGCTGGGTCAGGACTGCGGGGGGGTCTCCCCAGAGAGCAGCAGAGGGGCAGGATCCCCTCCTGAAATCTGATTTTGGTGAAATCACAAACCTGCTCCAGTTAAATCATCTCTTAATCTTTTTTTTTGGATAAACTCCCTTTCATCATACCAAGCCCCTTTGCTCTACCGACCTCAGGCTGCAGGTCCCTTACAGACCAGTCGTGACTGTGGGTCCCTCTAGAGTGGGTCTGGTCACCGTGCAGCAGCAGGTCTAGAGCTCAGCCCTGGACAGATCCACCAGAGGCCGTGTCTCATGATGGTTCCTCACCCACAAGGACTTGCCAAGTCCCATCACGTGGTATGCTTGTGAACCACTTCCCATTGCTCTGTGGGTTTTACAATGGGGACATTAAGAGAGTGGTGAACTAAACCTGTTACATCTCAACGGTACATTCATCCAACAAACCTGACACCTCAAATACGAAATAAAGCTTATTTTGTGAAGGTTTCTGCTTGTCATTATATCCATCAGCAGTATCTGAACAGTTACTTTTTGCCAGTAATTGACACCAGACTCAGAGGTTTATGATCAACGGGATCATTCCCCTTGCCCCTTCCAGATGCCAGCACTGTGCCAGTATCCTGGCCCTGCCCCAGCACCACAGCCACCAACTGCAAACACTGACAAATTACCACCTGACAGATGCTTCCAGCTTCAGTTACTAATGGCTTGGAAGACGTTTCATCATCCGCATGTGACAGTGCACAGCACCCTGCTCCCTTCCAAATAAAGAACAAACACTGACAAAACATGCCTGGGCTTTCTGTTTCATTTTTCATCATCCAACCCTGTCCACCCAAATGGGCAGCAGATCAGATTGTTTTCACAGAATCAAGGAATGGTTTGGGTCAGGAGGGACCTTAAAGCTGATCCAGTCCCAACCCCTGCCATAAGCAGGGACACCTTCCACTAGAGCAGCTTGCTCCAAGCCCCTGTGTCCAACCTGGCCGTGAACACTGCCAGGGATGGGGCAGCAACAGCTTCTCTGGGCACCCTGTGCCAGCGCCTCAGCACCCTCACAGGGAAGAGCTTCTGCCTTAGATCTAACCTGAACTTCCCCAGTTTTAGTTTGAGCCCATCACCCCCTGTGCTGCTACAGTCCCTAATGAAGCTACAGTCCCGTCTCAGGCATCCTCATAACCCACTTCAGACACTGGCAGCTGCTCTGAGGTCCCCATGCAGTCATGCAGCTGTAAGATGCCAACCTCACTGCGCATCTTCATCTTCTGCTGGGTGCTCCTTGGCTGTGTGGAGCAGCTCAGGGAGATCAACACCAGCTTTACCCAGCACACTAAAGGCCAGCTGTGAAGGACAAGAAGGACATGACACTGGCCAGTAAGCAGAGAGTCCCTGTGCCACGCTTGCTCGGGAGCCCTGACTTGACGCTGCGACTCTCTGAAACCTCCCTGGCCAGAGGACATCAACCCAAAGCCACAACCGAAGTGGCCAGAAATGTGCCAGAGCTGGGTGAAGTTCCCCAGTCTGCAAAGGACAGCTTGATCACTGGTGTGGGAGTATGAGGAGTCTGTCCTTTGGGAAAACAAACACCTCTGCATTGCTTAAAACAGAGGGAACAGCACATGAAAGGTGTCCCAAGTCCCCAGGTCTTTTCTGTGAAAGATGGAGTAAACCCAAGGATGCGCTCAAAGCTGAGGAACTGTAGTTCAAGGAGTAACATATTGCAGAAAGCAGGTAAGAGAAGCAGTCAAGAGGCTACAGTAACCTAGAAGGTGATGAATGGATGTTACAGTTAAGCTGATCACAGGGAGACTGGTCAGTTGCTTGCACTAAGCAATAATGTACAGAAAAAAACAATTCCTGAGAAATATGAAACCCTGATTTATCCCCAATTCCTGCTGATGGTCAAGAACATAAACTACAGAACCCTCCAACTGCAAACAACTTTGGCTAAACCAACAGCAAAGTTTCTCTAACAGATGCTCCTGAAGAATTCAAAATACAAAGAGAAATGCATGTCTCATGAGGTTACCCCACTGAGATGAGGGTGGGAAGATTTTCAGTTCTTTTTCAGCTTCAAATCTGCCCTGAACCAACACAGCACCAGAAAACGAGCTCCCAGCGGCTGTAACCTGCAGGGAGCTGAGCTCTCACCACCACCGAGGGAACCAGTGGTCATGTGCAGCCACTGTTCTGCAGTGGGAGGGAGGTCAGACACCAGCAGTGAGCCGCTGGTGGCAAAACACACAGAGTGAGGTGCCCAAGGGGAAGCCGTCAGCACCCCCAGAGCATGACCCCCAGGTCATGATTTTCCCCCTCTGCTGCTCTCTGGGGAGACCTCCCCTGCAGCCCTGATCCAGCTCTGGGGCAGCAGCACAAGAGGGACGTGGAGCTGTTGGAGCGAGTCCAGAGGAGGCCATGGAGATGCTGTGAGGGCTGGAGCAGCTCTGCTCTGGAGCCAGGCTGAGAGAGCTGGGCTGGGTCAGTCTGGACAAGAGAAGGCTCCTGAAGGGGAGACCTGAGAGCAGCTCCAGTGCCCAAAAGGGCTGCAGGAAAGCTGCAGAGGGGCTTGGGATAAGGGATGTAGGGACAGGCCAAGGGGAATGGCTTTAACCTGCCCGAGGGGAGACTGAGCTGAGCTCTTAGGCAGAAGCTCTTCCCTGTGAGGGTGCTGAGGCGCTGGCACAGGGTGCCCAGAGAAGCTGTGGCTGCCCCATCCCTGGCAGTGTTCAAGGCCAGGCTGGACACAGGGGCTTGGAGCAAGCTGCTCTAGCAGACTGGGTGACGGTCTCAGCCAGGCCATCCCCACCTGCAGCAGTAAGGAACATCAGAACTGTGCTCTCAGGAGCACAAAACCATCTCCCACAGGGGCAATAAAGCACTTAGACATAAAAGGACGAGGCAGCAAAATAAATCAAGCAGTGTTCCAGCCCCTGAGCAGACCTGTGTACGGAGGATCTCTGCAGCTGACAGCACAGGGCTGTCTGATGATGCTGGAGCTACACGAGGGATGCCTGAGACACAGACCCACAAATCAGTTTTTGGTCCCAGTCTATGAAGTGAAGAGATGAACCTTCAAGAAGACCAGCAGCTGGGAGTCCTGCCCATTTAACTACACATTCCACATCACTGCTGGCCTTCAACTGGGGAGGTGTTGGGATAAGAAAGATTGGACAGCGGTGGACCCGTGACTCAACGTGATCCAGCAATAATGAATTCCAACAACTGCCTAATGAGGATGCCCTGCTCTTGGAGATGTGCATTTGGCCTGGAAGAGGACAGGAGATAAAATCATGCAGAAAAGGTCTACAAAACATAAAAGAACATACACACAGATGTGGAGACACAATATCAAAGTCTGGGCATTATAAACTGCTGCAACTACCTTCTGAGGAGCCAAATGGTGCATCCAGGAGGATTCCCAAACCAAGTGAGAGGGCAAAAGGTGGCAGATAGGCCATCATGCAAATAGATGCAGAGTAATGCTTGTAGGGAAGAGCCCTCTGAATTTATGCTGATGCTGAATACAGACTTGGTGGGTGCAGCTCCAGACAGGCCTTGGAGCTGACACCGACTGGTCTCAAAAGTCATGGGCTCCATGCACAACAGCAGCCAAGAAAATATATCATGGCAGAGAGTGAAACCAAGTTGGGGAACGTCATCTGTGCTGACCCTGCACATGCATAGCTTCGGTGCTGTGTGCAAGTCTGGATCAGCAGCTCAAGGAAGAAGTGGTAGAACTAGAGAAGAGCAACCAAGATGGTCAAGGG